TATATATATATATATATATATAATCAAAATAAAAATAGCATTTCTTACAGAACTAGAGAAAATAATCTTGAAGTTTATAGATAACCTAAAGGGACCTACACTAGCAAAACCAATCCTGGGCAAATAAGAGCAAAGCAAGAGGAATCACAATTCTGGACTTCAAGTTATATTACCAAAGCTACAGTAATAAAAACAGCATGGTACTGGCAAAAAATAAACAACAAAACAGACATGTTGATCAGTGGAACACAAGAGAAGACACAAAAACAACTCCAAGTACAGTCAGCTACCTCTTTGACAAAGAGGGTAAAAACTTCCACTGGAAAGAAGATAGTTTCTCTAACAAAGGGAGCTGAGAAAACTGGCTATTCACATGCAGGAGACTGAATCTATATACCCATATCTGTACTAAACTAAAATAAAAATGGATAAAAGATCTAAATATTAAAACAGAAACACAATATGCTGTAAGATAAAGTAGGTAAAACTCTTGAGTACTGTGAAGAGAACCCCAATTCTCAAGAGATAACACCAAGAATCAACAAATGGGATGGTAACTAATTCAAAAGCTTCTGCACAGCAAAGGAACCAACCAACAAAGTGAAGAGAAAAGCTACATCTTAATCTTTCTCTTTTTTTGGTACTGGGAATCAAACTCACAACCTCACACACTTGCCAGGCAGGTAGTGTTCCACTGAGCTACATCCCCAGCCTGAAAAGACCTACAAAATGGAGAAAAATTTGGTACCTATTCTTCAGACAGACAAGCAATATACAGAATATGTAAAGAACTAAAAATAAAAAAATTAGACTGTCCAAAATAAAAGACCCCACCAAAAAATGGGATACTTGAATACTTCTCATAAATACAATGGCCAATAAACACACACACAAAAAATTTCAACAACTCTAGCAATTACAGAAATGTAAAATAAAACAACGCTGAGATTCCATCTCATTCCATGTTATGGCTTTATCTATCACCTTCAGTGGCTCATGTCCTCAAAGGTGGGACTGCTTAGAGGAGGCTAAATCTAGGGCATGCAAACATGGATTAAGTGTGTGTGTGACAATAAATAGTCCAGAACTGGTTAGCATATTTCTGGGTGTGGATAATGGGAAGGCCCACCCTGCATTTAGGTGGTATCAACCAACAGGATTACAGTCTCTGCAGAATATAAAGGGACAGAAAAAAAGGCAGGCTTAGTGCTGCTTCCTATCTCTTGCCTGCTTGCCCTGCCATCCAGCCTTGGAGCCAGTCAACTAATGGCTACAACCTCTACTGTGAACTAAAATACACTTTTAACTTGTGGATGTTGGGAATTTTGTCCCAGGAGCAAGAAAGTAATTAAGACACCCCAGAATGAATAGCTATTAAGAATCAGTTAAACAAAAAAAGAAGACTCAGTTAACAACCAATGCTGGCAAAGCTGCCATGCAAGAACAGGGGTGTGGGGTTAGGGGTGGTTCACTGTTAGTGGGAATGTAAACTAGTACAACTATGGAAATTCCTTTCAACCCACCTATTCTCCTCCTAGGTATCTTCCCAAAAGAATTAAAGACATGTTACAGTGATACGTGCATACCCATTTTTATAAGAAACATAGCAGAAATTACCTAAATCTTGAAAATGGTCTAAATGTCTATTAACAGATGAACAGATAAAGAAAATGTGGAATTTGTACAAGATGGAGTAGTACTCTGCCATAAAGAAGGATAAACTCCCCAAACTGTTAGAAGTGCTGGTCATTTATTTGCCATTCCAGTATTTATCTTATGTTTTACTCTTAGTACTTCTTTGCTATCATGAAAACTTTTTCTTAGTCCAACTGTTTTGAAACATGTAATTTTTAATTAATTAGTATTTAATTTCTGAATATTGCTTAATCTTAATTTTTGTTTTAAGATTTATACTGTATCTTTGACTTACAATTTATTTAAAAGACATCATATGATATCTTCTCCGAGTATTAGAAACTTTAAAAAGTATATTTCCATTTTCTGTTGACTTTATATTACTTCTTTCCTGTCTTTTATACACACATACACACACATATGGGGAAAAAAAAATACGTGTATAACCCAACATATACCCAAACATTGGTACTGTTTCATAGAAATCTGCAATGATCTTCAAGTAAGGGTTCATCTAATATATATTATATATCCTGCATAACTATCACATTGAGAGCTCTTTATTTTTCATCCAGGAGCATACTGCAACTTCTCTTGCCTTTTGAATTATGCTCTTTGTTATTTCCTATATGCTATATGTTATTTCTTGTGCAAAAGGTTCATTTTTCTTGGAATTGCAGTATTATAAGTTGAACTAAATTCAGAAATTTTAAATCTTTAAATATTTATTGCCTACTCCTTTTTACTTTGAGAATTCTAGTTATATGAGTATAAGTTTCTTGGTTTTGACACAGTGAACTAATATGATTGATCTGTAAATTCTTTATTTTTATTTTCGACAATTTTTGTTATATTCATTTACTTTTGTAAATCATTTATTTTCAATCTATTAAAAATGTTAAAAATAAAGGATAAACTTTAGTCATTTGTAGGAAAATGGACAGACTTTCAGATAATAATTTTAAGTGAAATAAATCAGGTATATAAACTTAAATATCACATGGTTTCTCTTATATGAGAAACTCAAAACATAAAATAAAAGATAAAAAGGGGGAAAAAAGAGATGGAGGGAAGGAAAGAAAGGGAAAAGAATTAAGATGTAAAAAAAATTAAGATTATTAAAAGCTGGGTGTGGGGGCACACCCCTGTAATCCCAGTACTCAGGTGGCTGAGGCAGGAGGATCGTTGCAAGCTTGAGACCAGCCTGGTCTCACCTTGTACAAAGTGAGTACAAGGCCAGCCTGAACTGCATAGTAAGACACTGTCTCAAAAATACAAAATACAAAATAAATAAATACATACATGTACCAACTTCACACTGAATAGTCATTATGCATTACAAACATGTACTAAGAAAAAACTGTAAGGAAATAAAAATAAAAAATTTAAATCTAAAAACTAAAGACAGTAGTTTGTAAATATCTTTAGAAGAATTTCTAGCCTCAATTTTAACAATAAATAGTTTTGGGTTTATATGTGTAAAGACCAAATTTATTAATATAGTAAGAGTTATATAGATATGGTTTCCTTGAGATTTTATTTCCTAATATGGCAAACAAATGTCTCAAACTGAAAATATGGTTAGAAACCATATTCAGAATATTTTCAAAGCAAAATCAGAGAACATCTGACTAGAAGAAAATTAATCGATAGAATTACTGATAAGAAAACATAATATAATATTGAAATACTGAAGTCATTTCTTATAGATTCTGTAACATCTTATTGGAATCTTTATCAGTGGTACAGGATATTTTACAGAAGTGTCATCTCTGAATTTTAAAATCATGAAGAAGCAGTAGAACCTTAAAAAAATAAGTAAGACCAGGCATGTATGTAGTTTATACTATCTTCTAACAATGAAAAGTAAGAGAAATATATTACTCTTACACACAGGAATAAAGAATCATAGCACACCTCACAACTTTTATAATTCCAAAAATACTTGAGGCAAGCTTCTCAAGGTGTTTTTAATAAGGAATAAAAGACAGAGTTGGAGATTAAATCATTTCCCCATTGATTTTAAGTTTGGTACACATATACAAGGAGAATAATGAAGCCAAATCATAAGATATTTCATGCAAATAACTATTTTTATTGTATTGTAATATATGTTGTATCTTTATAAATGCCAGAAATTTTATAAAAGGTTAAATTGAGACAGATGTATAGATTATTTTAATGGCAATGTGTCAAAAAATGCTGAACATTAAAGTATCATTCTTATAATCATTAGCTTTTTCTAGAATGCAAGACAGTTAAAATAGAACTTACCTCAGTCTTCTTGCTAATATGATCTGTAAAGAAAAAGTGAACACTTCATTGAGAGGAGTTACATACAAAAATTTTAGCATGTAAAAATATCAAAGTATTTAAAAAATTATAGTCAGAGTTAAAGAAGTATTTAAGGGTTTCCTAGAACAGCTGATTTCCTTTTCTAAGTTTAAGATGTTAAAATTCAATGTTACCAGCAACTTGTTCAGCTTGTACACCAGTAAGTGCTTCCTATACTTCCCAGCAATGACATCTGTACCAAGGGATGCTATTTGCTATGAGCACATAGATTTCATATGAGATAGATATTTATTTGGTTTCAAAATTTAAGACAGAAGGAACAAATCAGAAACACAATATGTGAAAAATCGGATCACTCTAACAGCAAAAGCTTCAGATTGCTGCCATTGTTGAATGAAATAAAAAGTGTAATTTATACCCTTTAAGATTATGAAAGGGGGCTGGGGAGATGGCTCAGTAGAATAAGCGCTTGGGGCTGGTGAGATGGCTCAGTGGTCTAAAGCATCTACTTAGAACAAGCTAAGCAAAAGCACAGGGACCACGGTTCAATCCCCAGCACCACATGCCAGCCAGCCCCGCCCCCTGGTGGGCTGAACTGGCCACACACACACACAAAATAAATAAATTAAATAA